TTATTTCTTTCAACTTGTGTGCAACTGAAGCGCTCCTTTTTCAGCGGGGCTCAACGTCCTCCCCCACTTCAGGAAGCCCACGAAAAGGCGCGAGGTCAAGTGGAAAGTCAATACGCACGGCGCCGATCTCAGTCAAGGCTCTGGTCTCGTCTCGAGAAGGTCCGTCTGCTACATTCGACTTCGACGGCGCCCTTGCTATCCACATCAAGAACTGGTGACAAGCTTCGAGACTATTTATGCAGTCGAGCATCACTCCAACTGCACCTAGCTTCTCGTAGGAATTTGCAATTGCACCCCTTACCGCGTCGTTATCTACGTAAACGACCAGTTGACGAGATGACAATCTGTGGCTCCAAGCTCTAAGACCTACCAAAAGAGCATACATCTCGGCTTCAAAGATAATGGTCTTCTTTACACCTTGTCCTAAGAACTCACAAACAGCTTGCGTTGGGGAACCTGAAATGAACTCAAAGAGGAACACCTTCGGGGCTAACCAAGACACAACCAATTCCAACCGGCTTGGGCTTATCGGGTTCAAAGCAGGCGTCGGTGAAGAGAAAGAGTGTGTCACGCGTGCAAACTCTCAAAGTTCTTGCCCTTCCAACTAGAAGATCATTAAGAAAGTCCTCTAAGTGGCATCGTAAGGCAAAGGACACATCGGATCGCCTCAAGACTGAATGCTCAGTGACTGCTGCCAAAGCCCTACGCGCCATCCTTCCCATGAATAGGTTTTCAGCAAACTGCATGCGTCCCCTGAGGCTCTGAGCATGAGAAGCACTGAGTTTGCCTACTTCTAGAATCTGTCTAATGGTGTTTGCCAATTCCTCCTTGCGTTCAAGTGTGTTCGAAATCGTGATGGCTCCAGACGAGAAACCCTCCAAACAAATGGACACACCTAGGCAAGAGAAAGTGCTGGAAAAAGGGGCTCCTTTGTCCTCGGCTACTCTCCATCCAAGCAAACGAAAGAGCAGGTCTACGGCGTCTTGCGTCGAAGAGGCTAATTCAATACCTGAATATGCGAGGAAATCGTCGAAGAAATTTGTCCAACAAATTGACAAGCACTTCACGGCGATGTACCATATTGCTCTGGCCACCCGAAGGAAAGCGTAAACACTCTGAAGGCCTGACTTCTGTGCTCACTCTTCAAATGCAATTGTCTGTATGCACTCTTCAAGTCAAAGCTCCTTGCCAAAAGACCTTGGGTTGCCTGACCCTCTAGGCGATGCACCCAATGATCGATCAGGGCGGCGGAAACATCAACTGAATGCAACAAGGGACTCTCTAAGACCGTGCAAGTACTGTTTACCAGAGAAGCACTATAGTCGTCAATGCACCTATACTTAGATTTTTGCCAAATGCCAAACCTGCGGGATATCGAAGCGCTTTCGGGCAAGCTCTCTTCGGAAAAGGGGCCTTTGAGCCAGCCCCTCTCTACCTCCTTCAAAGTCTCCTGCCACACAAAAGCATCGCAAGCCTCATCACCTGATGACCGAGTCCTCTCAAGAATCCCCCGGCGGAACCAGTGCGCTTGCTCTTTCAAAGTTTCGACACTGAGCTCCGCCACCCTAAAAACTTTGGGATAGACTCCAGACTCCGGCACTGCTCCTACCAGTGGCACTCCTTCGACGAGGAGGTTGGCTGCTTCTGCATCATGGTACCCTATGGATTCGAGGATCTCTTGAAACAAAAGGATGCGCTTGCCTGCCATGACCTTCTTTGCATCATTGTCGAAACCCTTGTGAAGCTCAAGCTCGGCTGCATTTAGTTCACCGGCCCTGCGAATCCAAAACTTGAACCAATTTACCCTACTCAAAGCAAGATCACGCGGACGCAAGTCAACATTGCGGTCCACTGCGTCTCTCAATTCTGCGGGCAGGGCATTAAGGAAAGACTTGGGGTGACCAAGCCTTGCAGCTTCAAGCATGAAATCTGTGTCGGACCAGTGCACCCCCCAGACATGCCTGCAACTTTCTGCAACTTCGGCAACGGTCTCCCCAGCATCTCCCCTTTTGAGGAGAGGGCGTTGCAAAAGGCGTGAGAAGGGGGGTATTTCAAGAGCACAATGGTGTTCATCAACTGCGGGAATGGCCAAAGGTGTGTATTGCTTAAAGGGTACTGAGGTTACGGCGCCGCGCCGTGATCACTCTTGCGTACTCAGACACCAAGGGTGGAAGCTTGGTCCTTGCAAAAGCGTGAGACACAACCTTGGCCTGTTGAACAAGAAGGTATTGTTCGGTTGCGGCCACTTCCATGGAGGTTGGTGGCAAAAGGAGACCATACTCCTGACAAATCTGCAGAAACACTTGCGCCACAGCAGAGCAAAGACCCTGAGGATACTCTTTTTCTTCATGGGTTGCAAAGATGAGGCGGTTGTTCACATACTGTTTGCCCCATATCGCATGAACATGCTGGCCCGGTCGAACTCCCGGGCAACCGAGGCGTATCTGCATGAATGCCGGGTGGTTGAAAGCCAACATGGTTCTCTTCGGTCTCTTACTTCCGTACGCGCAGGCAACATGACACTGAAAATACAAATGTGGCAAACAAGACATGTGGTCAGCCAAAAAATGCTCCGAGCGGGATTTTCGATCACTAAGAGCAACCCGTTCGAAAAACAGTAGTCTGCAATTTTTGCAGTGAGTGTGTACAGCTTATTAGCCGAAAAGACTCTGGCACGATCGGCCTGCCCCAAGTTCGGAAGCCCGTCGGGCCAGTGATCGGAGCGGAGGGGCTGGGGCCCCCCGTTGTCAATCTCCCGGGCTCGAGAGCATGTGCCACACGGCGGAGCCATCCAGACTCCTACAACCCGTGGGGAGGCCAAGAACTCCATCACCAAGCGTACGCCTTCAGGCGTCTCGAGATCAAGTTCTATGACAGGTGCCTTGCTGAATTTTGCACGAGATTTGTCGATCCCAAATGAAGACTCTAGGCCACTCCAGCTGAGCCGGCAAAGATCTCAATTATAAGCGCATCGTTCAATGGCTTAGCATGCAAATCGGCCAAACGCGTTAGTCAGTTTGCCTTCACGGCGCTGCCCGCGTCCTGCTTGTGCACGTCAGCGTACGGATGCACCTCAAAACACTTGCAACAAATGTGACGGCCCCTGGGACACTCACCACCTGGCTCTGCTGCATTGCAATTGTTCAGATTGTAATTGAAACAGATCGGCTTCCCATCCTTGTCGGAGGGTTTTCCTCCTTTCAAACCTGGTGGCATCCATGTGGCAAAATGCTCCGTTCGCTTTCCTTTGGACTTGTGCTTTCCTTTGCCTTTGCCTTTGTCATGATCTCCTTTGCCTCCTTTGTCTCCTTCGGCTTGGTTGCGCCAATATGGAGACTCTTTCCAATCCTGCTTCAATGGCCTTTCAGGGATAGCAAGTGGAAATAGATGGAATGAAACCTCGTAGGACTGTAAGGCTTCCATGATTCTGGCGTCCAAGGGCCTATTCCCAGCAGCATTTCTCCTTATCCCCGACCCCAATTCGGCCAACTTTGCGAAGACGGCCTTGTCGGCCTGGATCACTTGGCACAGGGTGACTTGACGATACCCTGGTGGGGCCTCACGGGTCATGTGCCTGAAAAGGGTGTCGATGTAACGCTGAGAAACACTGAAGCTGATCAGGTCCGAAAAATCATATGCCAAGGCACGCCTAATGAATGCTTGCTGGACAAGTAAGGATGAATTGACCGTGGTGTCGGGCATGGACAAGGTCTCCCCTACAACAACGTTTCCCCCATGCACGACCAACTGCTTCACTGGCTTCATCTGGACTATCTCGAATTCTCGTGATGGGCACTTCTCAGGAGGTAAATATTTAATGGTCTTCTGCTCATACTGATGCTGTGTCTGCTCGAAAAGGCTAACGGCTGGTTCATTCACTCCTTCAATAATCAAGCCAGTGATTCGAGTTCGAAGCGCTGCCAATCTAGATTCCCCCTCTGCGATGGGAATTCTTTTCGGCGTTGAGCTCTCAGTCCCTGGGGCCTCGACTGTGTTCTTCAAAGACTGAATTGTCAACGCCTGCGCCTCGAAGAGGAGCCTTTTCAGGGATGCTGCATCTCCTATCGAGGGCGCGGATCCAGTCAATGCCTGAACGGCTCGATCAAACTTGTCATCGTCCAGAGGGACCCCCGGCTGCCCGATCCAGTATGCCAATTTGGAAAGAGTGTCGGGTCCCTGACCGGTTAAGGCAGTGATCAGAGGCCTTCCTAAGCCAACTTCTACAGCCCTTGTCTCAAACTGCACCTTACAATCAATGAGGAGGGACATGGCTCAGTCTGTCCACCTAAGTGGTTCACAAAGTCAAAAATTCCTGTCACACGTTTCGTTAAAACAAAACAAGCTGTCAAAAGTTCAGCGTCCCTCAAAGAAAACAAGTGAAAAGGAAAAGATCGCAGCCGTCAAACAACAGAACAAATAAAGCTTGGTTCCATTAAGCTGAACAAACCCTGTCTCTCCATGCCATCAGGGCTGGAGCCATTCATGCTTCGTCAGGAAGCTCTCAACCGGAAATCAAGCGGCACTTCAGGGGCCTATTGAGCTTCAGGCTCATTCAAGACTCTCCAGGAGTCGGTCAGCAATACAAATGAAATCCAGTTGCAAGCAAAAGAGTGCACCTTTGAACATGCCCACACACTCTCGTTTTTACGTTTCTTGAAACAAACTCAAAAGCATTCAGATGCTTTTTTTTTCGGGGCGGTGACAGTCGTGAGCTCCAAGTCGATCTCTACTTCCTGAAACAGTGAGAGCATGTCACGCAAGCTTTTGGACACTCATCAAGCTTCTCAAAATTCTGTGAAACCTTCCTACCGCAACGGGTGTAGCGGTAACCAAGCCCTTCATAAAACGTGGATTCACATGCATGGACAAGTCGGGAGGTTCGATGGCGATACGCTTCAAGGCCCTCCGACATCACATCAGCAACCTGGGTCATGGAGCTGGAGTTCAAAGCAATTGCTTCGTCGCCAGATGATTCAGTGTCAGAAGAGCTAGAACTTTTGGACAGCTCTTCCCAATCCCACTGGTTGAAAACTTCTGTCCAGTCTGGCTCGTCCTTCACCTCGATTGGTCCTGACTTGGCCTTCTTTGAAGGCTGCTCATCGTCACTGCTTAGGACCAGCACGTGATCATTGTCTGCATCGACTACAATCATTCCAGACCTTCCTGCATCCGGCCTGAACTTCCCATCTCGAATGAGCATGATGACTTTGTCAAGCTGCCTCAAGGGAGACGAGATGAGATCTCTGGAGTACAAAGGCCCGGCGCCTTCAATAGCGCTCACATGCCTTCCGAGCACGTCCCTGTCCTCACGATGTGTTCCAAACTTTGCCAACCAAGACAATGCTGTTGCTTTGCAGGAATGCGAAGACAGCTTTCTGCAGCTACTCTCAGAAGGGTTCAACACCCGTCTGATGAACTCCGTGATCTCTCCGGAGTCAAGCGGCCTCGTTGACCAATCCACCGTCCCAACTTTGGAAATCATTGGGGCTGGTGTCAACGGAGTCCTGGACGCATGAGGCCCTATGCCAGCAGCTGCCCTTATGGCCATGAACTTTTTGGCCCAGCAATCACCTGTGACGCCGAAAGCCGGAATGACGATCGGAAGCAACTTTGTCTTCAAGTGAGCTTTCTTGGCAGTCTTGTGAGTGGTCGTACCAAGTTCCAGATATCCGCAATTGGCGTCGAAATCTTGGTGAACTGTCTCAATGGCATTGAGGTCAGAGGCTCTGCAACGGCCATAGATCATGGCCAAAACTCTACCTGATGCCAACCTGTCAAAAATCGAAGCCGAAGCGTCGTCCATATGCCGGTGAAAAGTTTGCGCTTCTTCGACAGTGAAAGGGTCAGCTGGGTGCCATGTTTTCTTTTCGGCCAACATCGAATCAGATGCTCCTTTCACTCTCGCACTGTTGCAAGCCTCCAAGGCGCCTTCGAGGCCTAGGGTGTAATGGCAAAACCTCCAAGACTCACGAAAAGTGGAGGCTCTAGACGTGAAGTTCCCTTCTCCTCTCAGCTGGAAGAAATAACTGGCTACATCAGCTTCACGAATTGGAAAGGGGGATTTGTTTTGGTCGACCGAGGCCTTCACATACAGAAAGAGCGCGTTTGCTCTTTTGTTCAAAATTGCAGCAGACTTCAAGCCAAAGATCACTTCGAGGTTCTCAACTAATTTCTCGGTGAAGTCGTAGAAACAAGACTCCGCTTGCACAACCTTCCCAATATAAAATGCAACGGGGTTCATGGAGATCAGGTTTGCAAACTTATTGATTGCAGCTTTCTTCATGGATTCTTTGCTTGGTCCAATAGTCAACATCCGCAATCTTCCTGATGCACTTAAGGAAGACTGAGTCAGCTTTGGGCCCAGAGACACTGGGCTCAACACAGCTTGGACTCAAAGAAGTCGAAGTCACGGGTTCCTGGACGGGCATTGGATGGGCCTGCACTTCAGGCAAGCTGGGAATGAAATCATCTTTGCCAAAAATAAGTTTCATCAACCCACTTTCCCATAGCTGTTTCATGTCTGAAGACGATGGCCCTGTGTCAACTGCAGCTGATCTCACTAGATCCCCGAATTGTGCACCACTCAAAGGACTTGTCACAGGATCAATCGGAGCTGCATCAAATGATTCTGGAGGTGCCGGCGGGAAAGGCTCAGACTCTTCAAGATCACTGACATCCATGGCATAATCAAAACAACTAGCTACCGGCTTCCCCCCTAGCAGCAAGCACCGTCAAATGAATGACGGAACCCACCACTCCCTCTCAGAGCCAAAGTCTGCATAAATAAGATGCGATCACCTTCGGTGAGTTTGCACGTCTTACTATTTACTTATTATGAGGTCATACGTGTCTTGGAGTTGAAGGTGTTTCTTTAGCAGTTGTGGGGTCTAGTAATAGGCTGGCATTGTTTGCGGGAGACACATCAGGTCTGGGGGAATAATTCCTTGAGCAGTGACATGCAGCAATAACAGAATTGTCTTGGTAATTGATCCCAAACAGTTGTGTTTTCATCTGATGAGCCTTATCCCGTTGACATATCCATTCAACTGACCCCTCATGTGTCACTTTGATGCTATCCGTGGTCACGACCAGCTGAGTTCCCGGCCAAATGGTGAAATTCACCACTCGAGGCATCGTTCGCCCCAATTGGCCAGGCCTAAAGAAGGAGGGAGGGGCAAATGCAGGTTGGAACTTGTTGGAACCTCAGAATTGAATTTTAGTTCATTGGATGTCATTCGTCCACCCAACAATGTCAGCTGAAACGTTTCTCTTCTGACCCACAATCACAAAGAAGTACATCCCTCACTTGCCTCCGAAAGGAGTCAGTCTATGCGTAAAAGAAAAGATACAGTGGTGCTTACTGCATGGCTTATGACTGTACAACAGACTGTATGATCAATGCGTTTTTCCCAGCATTTGGACAGTCCAAGATCTCGCCTACTAGCTACAAAAACAACCCGCCGTGCTGACCTACGATTTTGCGTTGCTTGTGTCGTCAACCTTTAACTGGGTTCAAAAAGGTCTGAAAACATGCGTTTCGGAACAATTGACTTCCGAAACAAAGAGCCTTGCGCGTCTCAACTCAAATGTGCTGTGTTTCACGTCAAATTCGCGTTTCGCTGCAGCGAAATACACATGTTCATCCAAATTCATCCTTTAAACTTGTTCTTTGCTTGAAGGATTCAAGGGCATTCTGCTATTTCGCTACAGCGAAACGAAGGTTTGAACAACTCGAGTCAAGCATAATTGTCGGACAGCTTCTTCAGTCAGCGTCCAACAATGTTTGAAACGGCGTGTCCTGCAAAAAAAAAGTTTGCCTGTGTTTTCCCACCTCCAACAGCACCTTTGCAAAAACTTGAAGATTTGCGGGTTGACTTCACCAATTGGTTAGCGTGTGCATGGAGGTGGGAATTGCCGTCTTCGCACGAGCCCGAAACCCATCTATGGAACCAGTGTTCACATCCAGTGACGGGACTCGTCTACAATGAGTGTTCAAACTTAGTCCACTACAAAGAAAAGGTAAGTGTTGATCTAAAAGATCTACGTGTAAAACCTCTACAAGATGTACACTAGGCAAACAGCGCCGCAACCACTTAGGGCAGCCATGCTGCCCGCCAAAAGGAAAGAAACCTTGAACCATCGACAGGAGCAAACCATCGTAGCCCTTCACGAAAAGGAAAAAACACGTAGTAAAAAGAACACGAGCGACGAGCATTTGGCACAACGAGGCGCACGATGCAACAAAATGCATGATGTAAAGATGCCGACGGCGTTGGACTCACGGAGCGTCGTCATTAACCCCCCGCCCAACCCCCCCCAACCCCCCACCCGGAGGTCAAAGATGCCCTGACATGCACGATGAGAAAAACGTGAGAAAAGAGATGTAGATGACGCGGACACATGTCGATAATTAAGGTTCTTGGATGATATATGATGATATTATTGGCAAACATTGGCAAAAAAACATTCGCGAAGAGCAAACACAAAAATCCGAAACACAAGGTGGGGTGTTGTAAAAACCCCGTGTCTTTTGCAAGACCTCGCGAAACCATGTTATCGTGTTTCTACTCTTATCGTTTTCTCAGGTGAAAGCATCTTTGGTGGAAGATCACAAATCAAAAGATGTCCTTTGGTGGTCTACATGGTCCTACTTCAGGATCCCGAAGCACTGCCTGTACCAAGGCGTACAGGCCGTGCCCCAGCTAGTTCTAACATGTTCTAACTGATCCCGTTCGAGTTCGAGTTCAAGTTCGAGTTCGATGCGCGAGATTGCGTGGATCGAGCGAGAGGGGGGTGGACCAGTTCGAGTTCGAGTTCGAGATCGAGTTCGGATCGACACACAATTATCGAGCCGCGGGGGGGTGGACCGGTTCGAGTTCGAGTTCGAGTTCGGATCGACACACAATTATCGAGCCAGGGGGGGTGGACGAGTTCGAGTTCGAGTTCGAGTTCGGATCGACAACACAATTATCGACCCGGGGGGGTGGACGGGCTCGAGTTCGAGTTCGGGTTCGGATCGGCGACTAAGAGACTTATAAGGGGGGGTGGACCAGTTCGAGTTCGAGTTCGGATCCACAACAACAGCAACGAGAACCAACAGCAACGACAACAACCGCAACCGCAATCGCCACGACCCACAACACAGAAGAAGAACAGGACCCTAAGTCACCGAAATTAGTAAATTTACATTTTCATTGGATTTACGTAAATTGATGAATTTAGGTGGCAAAAAGTGTAAATGGGTTAGTAAATGTAAATTTGATTTAGGT